AATGGGTAGGCTTTCTACTATTCATGAGGAGCCACTATGAGCCAATTTCTATTCATGGAAACTGTGATTTCCAAACCTGGGGTTTCTTGTAAAGGCCATAACTTCATCGTCTTGAAGGCAATCGATCTCAAACTTTATATTATGTCCTTCTTCTCATTAAGACGAACATTTCGACATATGGTATGACCCGAGACAACGCTCGAGACGGAAGAAATATTAAAAAATTTTTTGTGAAAGCACAAAATGTAGAATTATGTGAGCTAGACGTCCTCACGCTCCAATGGATAATTCTCGAAGCCTTGAGATCGAATGACCCAGAAAATAGATCCATTACGACCGTGACTTGAAGGGATTCTATTGGAGGTAAGATTTTCTTTAGATCAAGGCCGAAACACCATATCAACTCTCCAAAGAAGCATAGTTTTCAGTCGTCGAAAAACCATTTTCCAACGACATCCATTCTCTATCTCTCTCTCCCCCCCTCTCATTTTTCTTTCTTTCTCTCTCTTCTCTCTCTCCTTCCTTCCTCTCTCTCTCTCTCCTCCTCTCACTAGAACCAGTGGCTAGGCCACCCACTCTCCCCTCCTTCTCTCTCTCTCTCTCTTTCTCTCCTCTCATTTTCTTTCTCTCACTCTCTCTCTCTTTGGACCGGTGGCTAAGCCATCGGCTTGGCCCCTCACCCCTCGCCCTCTCTCCTAACTCTGTCTGGTAGCTAGGCCGCCAACCACCTCTCCCTCTCTCTCGCTCTTCTCTCTTCTTCTCTTCTTCTCTCTCTTTTGCTCAGCCCCTCTCTCTTCCCCTCACTCTCTCTTTATCTCACTATCCCTCTCTCTTTTTCTCTCTCTCCATTCTCCTCTCTCTCATCTTTCATCCCTCTCATCTTCTTCTCATTTCATCTCTTCTCGTGGTGGTTTGCTCTTGGTTAAGGTCCTTTCGAGTAAAAAACTAAAGAGGGGCCTCCAGAGTAGTTCCTTCTCTCTTATCTTTCATCTCTCTTTTCTTCTCATTTCATAGCTTCTCGTGGTGGTTCGCTCTTGGTCATGGTCCGTTCAAAGTAAAGAATTAAAGAGGGTTTTCGGAGTAGTTCCTTCTCTCTTTCTTCCCTTCGCATTTCGTTGCTCTTCACGGAGATTTGCTCTTGGTCAAGTTCCCTTCTGGGCAAGCATCAAAGAGGGGCCTCCAGGGGGCTTAGCACCTTTCTTAAGGCACCGGCATAGCCTCCTAGGGGAGGTGACCTTCTTCTCTTTACATTTTTTTTCTCTTTAACCACCCAATTTTTTTTCTTTTCCTTATGTTTTTTCTATCTAGAATGCAATTTAATTAGAGTAAAAGAAAACCCTAAAGAAAGCTACGATGAGACCCCCAACTTTCCAATACATATTGGAATCTTTATCCTATCATGTGTGAACTCACTTCTATCCTAACCATCTGGGACTTACTCAAACAAACTCCAAAAGAATAGGAAAGATGGTTAATGGTATGCGCCAAATTAATAGGAAACAACCCTATCAACTAGGAAATCCAAGATAAAGGAAAAAACCAATCCAAAAAGAAATAATCCCACATCGCTTGGGTTTCAAGGCAAAAGATTAACAAATTTATGCTTGCACATATAGAGTCCTGATAAATGAGATTTCATTGCATGATGATTAAGCCTCTATATTCATCTTTCTGTGTTCTACAACAAAAATAAGGATTATGACAAATTTTTTCATTTTAACTATAAATTTCATTTATTAGAAAATCTTTTATACTAGTTTTAAACAATAAATTTGGAAATTAACACAATTTGATGGATTACACCTCTTCGTGGCACATGAGCATGAGGTTTGGTTTCATATATTTTTGTGGCCATTTCTTTGCTATGCTCTTTAGTTCTCTCTCTATGTAAGAAAAAAATGTGGGCGCACATGAATCTACGTTGTATGGCTCGACTCTAAGGGCATATTTAGTTCACATGAAAATACTTCTTTATGTATTTTAACCTGAAAATACCTCATGTGTTTTGATGAGGGAGTTTTTTCACATTAAATGGTTGTCAATTGGAGTGAAAAAATACATTGAGACCAAATGATGTGAAAAAACTCAGGTTACGTAAAATTACTTTTACAGAAATATTTTCATGCGTACCTAACGTATCCTAATAAGAAAATACTTTTATAATAGTATCCATATTTCCCCATAAATCCATGGACACCTCCAGTATATACTGCCTTCAAATTGGCTTGGCAGAACATCCGTCTATCTATCCACATAAATGCATATCCCACCCGCTTCAGATTGGTTTATAGCTTAAAAGGGACCGAACCAAACTTTTGTAGCAAGACCCCCTTATTTCTCCACCCATCCCATTTAAGGGCCCTGTTTTATCAGATCTCCTCTTCCCCCATGCGCACAACCAAGCGCCACATAGCTGTTATGATGGACCACAGCAAATTCAATGGAAAACTCAGCCCACTTGAACAGCAAAATTGTATCCACCTGCATTTTAAAGGACTGTAACATGCAAAGATGTTAACATGCAAAGATGTTAACTTTGGTATAAAAAAATCACACTCGTCTTTAGTCATCAGATGTGAAATTTGATAATTAGAAATATATATTTCCTTTGCAAACAATTATCTTCAAGCACAATTAGAGGCACAACTTGAACGACTCAATTTCAAAGCTGATTGCTACGGATGATAATGAACGTTGTGTACCAAAGGTGTAGCTCAATTTTAAAAGCCGCTATGACCCAATGCCTGATCTCTCATAGAAAGAGAGAATTGACATAAATGGGAAAATTCTCGAGGTTCATCCAACACGTTCCAAAATTTACAGCAATTAGGTTGCTTACTGCATAACTTGATCGTGAGAAATTTCACATGAATCCAATGGAGTTAGATCATCAATGCAAGAAAAAATTAGGAGCACAATATTACAAAATGGTAACTTTTTTGGCTCAAAGTTAGGACAACCACCCCCTCTTTTGGCGGCCTTTTTTTCCTTTCCACACTCACCTGTCTGGCAACAATGACGGATAGGAGAGAGATCCCACATGTTTTCAAATATTTTTATAGAGCCAATATAGCATGCTCCTATGAGAGCCACGATACCTAGCTACAATGATTTTTTTTTTGGGTCTAAAATTTTGGAAACTATATAGTAATTACTATCTGATTAATTTAAAATAAAAATTTGAAGTTTGAGTTTTGTGATAATTAGACCCAGCCATTCAAAAATTGGACGGCCTTTATTCAATCTTGGAGCATTCATTTTTCTAATACATGGAGATATTATTTTGGAAAAGTTTTTTGTTCAGATTATTCTAAGGCTTATAGGGATTATATCTCCAAAAATTGCGATCTAAAAAGTATCCTAAGCATACATTTTGCCGACGGACTAAATAGACAGTATACTCCTACAAGAATAAACACTTATTCTCTTTCTTCTTTAGTGATCTTTGCTCCTCGTCCTGCCGGGTGTTGAAATTGCCAGAAAGTTTTGGCAATTGCATCAAATAATAAAGCGGCGCCAAAGAGGGGGGTGCTCCTAGTAATTTTGACCAAAAATGTACAAATATTATAATAAAGGCATTGAAATAAGGGTGTGATTTCTATAAGGATGCAACCTTAAACAATTCAATTAAGGCGCACCTTAAAATTTTATCTTAACATGTAATTTTGTTATAAAAAATTCTTAATTTTATCTTAAAATCTCTTTTCATACCTAAATAGAAAATTTTAAATTTCAAAAATAGTTAAAATCAAGTAGATCTATAAATATATGAAAATCTTGAAAATAGACAGTCGAGATAATATGTTGCGAGATGTACTATTTCCAAAACTCAAAAACTTTATTTTTTCATTTTTATATATCTCAATATCGAGATGATCAATTACAAGGTTTATTCAACATTAAAACAACATTCCAGATAGATTTTTGAGGTGCATTTGTGATTCTACATTATATGAACTTTTCCTTGGAAATACTGCACCTCCATAGTTTTCCCTCAATTTTCAATATCGATGACACGCCTGTGCATAATGGAGTCAGTCAGTGCCCTCTAAATTCATTATAAATATCTGAAGGTTTACAATAAAGAATAAATACAACATACTAATGTGGTGCCCAATTTTCATTGGCCACATCGTGCCTAAACAATCTTTTATGGATGCCGTTTGTATAGAACCTAGGCTCTAAACAATCAAATTAAAACTTAACTTCAAATGGTATCGAAAAATATTGTTTCAATATTGAAAATCTTTGTGATAGCCTTAAAATATATTTTTATATTTATTTATAAAGTTTATGGCAAGCTTTCTATGCATCCCCTACAGCATAAAACTTATATACTTCCCCTTATCCAACCGTCCATTCTGAATGAAGGGCTAAGATTGTCCAAATCACAATATCACATCTTTACACTATTTTATTTTTAATATTTTTCTATAAACTATTTTGACACCAAATTTTGGATATCCAATCCTCTATTAAACTCGCACTAGCGAAAAATATAAAAACAAATATTTTAAATAAAATAAAATGACTAAAATACCCCCTAAAAGTTTCAAAAGGTATTTTGGTCATTATATTTTATCGAAAATTTATTTTTAATATTTTTTATAGGCACACCCCAATGAAAAGATGGCACGTACCAAATTTTATATTCATACAATTTGTATAAAAAAACTAAAAATAAAATATTTTGAGACGTCGGATCTAAGATCTAACGGAGAGTGGCTCTCTTGATCAAAATTGGACGGCTGGATGATAAGGAAAGCATAGATCTTCTATGCTGTAAGGGAAGTATAGAAACATTTCCCTAAGCTTTGAAGCTTAAAAAATAGTGTAGATCGACATATCTGTGAGAAATTGAAAATCTTGAAAATTGATAGTCCAAAAATACATTACAAAATACATTACTAGCAAAACTTGCAATCCATTTTTTTCGATTGTCCATGCTTCTTGATGTCGAGATGATCAATTTGAAAATATCTGAGCATCAAAACAATCTCTTCTAGTGGAATTTTTGAAGTAGGCTCAAATTTGATTGTTTAGAGCCTCGGCTATATAAACTTTTCCCATCTTTTATACTAGATACAACAAACTACAGGTGCATGTACTCTCTCTTAAAATACCTGTGCATTTATTCTCTCTCTCTCCCTCTCTATTAAGGGAGACGTTACACCCAAATTTGTCTTCCGTTTTCTGAATGTCATTTCCTTCCAGTAGCGCCTTTCACACTTGTAACTGTGGTCACTGCTCGTTCTGCATATTTATTGCCTAAGTTTAAGCACAAACTTTATGAGCTAGGCAAGAATGGGACTTGAGCTAGGGTTGTTTGGATAGAGTCATGGAAGTTATGTGCCACTAAATACGCCACAATCCCAGCAGTATACCCTGCAAAAGCAAACCCGCTCACCTGCACAAAAAAACCCCTGCCTCAATTAGAACACAACACAAGTGACATCCAATTTATAAATGTTGAGGAAATATGCTAACAGCCCACGAACTTAAAGAAAAATCACAGTCCATTAAGTCTCATTTTTGTCCATTGATACGATGGGACTGTGATGGAGAATGGGATCCATAAGATTAGGACATGACCCCAATGTTGGGTGCCAATCATGGATCCTCATCAGTGTCTGTTTCAATGGTTTGTGATGACCCAAGTACTATTATTATTCAACGAGTCCATTAGCTGATGGTATACTTTGTAAGTTCTAGTCCTCGAAAAGAAGTGGTAGATTTTACCTTCCTTAGATACCAAAAGAAATCAACCTTCTCCATTCCCATAAATGCTACACCAGCTGCCGAGCCAATTATGAGCATGGACCCCCCCGTACCCGCACAGTAAGCAATGAGCTGCCAAAACTCAGCATCCATTGGGAAAGAAGAGAGGTGGTACATTCCCATAGTGGCAGCAACCAATGGGACATTGTCAATCACTGCCGATACAACACCGATGGCACTTGTGATCAGTACTACATTTGGTATGTGGGCATCCAGATAGTTGGCCAATTCTCTCAGGATCCCGGCAGCCTCAAGGCTGCAAAAACCCACCAAAATGTAGGCATTTATCCTCAGCATGCAAACTAAACTGCACTAGAAGTTTTCGGCAGTTCTCAAGGAAAATCTAGAAGGTATCTGTAATCTTTGACATGTAACAAATTAGGACGCAAATTTTGTTGGTGACTTTCCTTTCCATCAATGTTTTTGCTATTTCAACCATATTTTTTTAATCATTCGCATTATATGGGTGGCAATAAAAAATCCTCGCTGACTAGAATTTCCAGCCATTTTTAAGGGTGGGAATAGCAAAAACATAGGCCCAAAGAGCAATGCCTTTCATTAATTCAAGTATCAGTAGATATTAGGAATCAAATTTTAACTACAGGAAATTGCATCATAACATGAAACCACAAGGGCCAATAGAATGCTAGCATCCACAAACTAGCAATTACAAGTATGTAGAGATATGATATACCTATCTCCCAACATCTCCACAAGTTAGAACAGTTCCACTAAAATCTCATCTAGGAAGCTAAGTGGGATTAGATATTTAGAAGCCTTTTCTACCTCCAGTTGAATAATTCAGAATGGGCTACAATGCCTAAATCTAATTTAAGAACTGTAGTAGCTAGCCGATTATCAATTATACTATTGAGC